CTTAACTGTAAACCAGCGTGGGAGAGTTGGGCCCTGCTGTGTTTGCACAGCTGTCCGGCTCGCCAGCGCTGCTATCTTTCAGGGCCCAGAGGTATTTGACTGTGCTGGGGAAGGGTTTCTAGAGGCTGGAGGAGGTGAGAACTGGGCGGGGGAGGTGGTTGTCTTCCAAGTGCCTGAGGCCATTGATAATCAATTTTTTGAAAGAAAAAATATATTTTAAAGATGTTAATATCTGTTGAACCTCCGTAGTTTAAAATTCAAGAGTTCTAACAAGGTTTGCAATGGAATACTTGCCTCTCTACCTCTTTCCATGGCCCCAACCCCTCCCTCACAGCCCGCCCCCAGCCAGCACTACCCCTTCCTGGTATAGCCAAGCAAATACATATTTATCCCCCCTTACCTCCTTTTTATACAAACGGAAGTAAGCCATGTGTGATATTCCATTCCTGGCATTTTTCTCACTTTCTTATTCCTTTTTTTTTATTGAATGGCTATAACTTGTTTAACAAGTGTGTAATTAACTGGCATTTATTTGTTTTCAATGTTTTGCCATTATAGTGCTGCAATTAATAACTCATTTATATGTTATAAGTGCTAGAGGGAACGTTGCTGAGTCAAAGAGAATGTACATTATCATTTTGATTGATACCAAATTGCTCTCTAGGAACTCACAGCAGTTTCTAGCCCCCCTAACAGTGGATGAGGCAACCTGTCTCCTTACGCCACCCATACACCGTGCTCTCCAGCCTCTTGACCTTGACTGTCTGATAGGTGCGGAAGTGATTTTAGTGCAATTTCAGGGGATGGTCTGATCTTCAAAAACAATGGAACATAGGACATCTGCTACTTTTGCCTTTGTGGTGATGGCCTAGTGTGGGGTTACAGACTTTTGGACTAGCAGAGGAACTGAAATTGATTTGTGTAGCAAATGGATGTAATCCTTTTTAAAAAATATCAAGTATTGCATACGTGATATGACATGCTAAATGAATCATTAGAAACTGTGTGCTCCTTGGTTTTATATATGATGGAACATCTTCTCTAATCTTGTTATGATATCCAGGACTTAAGATCAAAGAATCACTGAAGTGTAGTACCAGCAACTTAAGTGAGGTCAGCAGTATTTGTCCCCTGTGACCTGTCTGAGTAGATCTTTACCAGCTCTGGTCTTGGTGTTCTGCTGCGTTTGCCACATTCATGAGATACAAATGTAGGCATTTGGAAAAGATGATGCTTAGATCAAAGTTTCGAGTAGGAAGTGCTTTTGGAGATCCTCTCGACCAATTTTCTTTTCACTGGAAAGTCTTAGAGAAGAACTTGCGTGTGGGACTTGCCTTGAACAAACGGATATGGTTTTTAGGTTTTTAGATTCCAGGACTGCAGGTGAATCAGGTGTGGTTTCAGGAAAAGGAACTTTGTCCTACAGGCTTTATACAAAATGGGGAACTGGGCTGGATGTGCGTGGCAGGACCAGGACAAGGAAGGATTACATCAGTATGCTTTTCAATATTCTGGTTTGTCAACAGAGGATTAAGTTAATTTATTTGTAAACATAATGTGGTCTACCACACAATGAAGACACAAAGAAAAACGTATTACCAGTAGTCAAAACAGGACTAAGTATCTCAGCACACACAAACTCCCCTGGGGTCAGGCTCGCTCACCCTGGGAAACCGAAAGCTGGGATTGGAACAGCCCCCTGTTGGTCGTAGCTGAGGGAGTGATCTACTGGCCTGGCCAGTCCTCCCAGGACTCACAATGTGCCCCTGTAGCTTTCAAACAGAAAATACCAAGTTCTGAAAACATCAAAACACAGCGCCAACTCCTTTATCCAGCATGTTGAGGTGCCAGTTAGGCCCCAGTCCTGTTAAACCAGATCTGGTTTTGTATCCTTGTTCTCCCTGAGATTTCTGGATGAACCAGAAAGCACTGACCACATAAGTTAAGTGTTCTTTGCTTTATAAATTGATTTAGGCAGCAATCTCTCGTCTCCTCTTCCTCTCACAAGTGCCTGGGCAGACCTCAGACCACCAGAGCAAACCCTTCTACCCTTCTACCCCTTGGTCCCAACTTCACTTCTAGGTTTCCTCTGTCTTTTTTTTTCCTCTTTTAAAAATTAGCTGTTTAAATTGCTGATTCAGCTATTTAAAATGCATGATCCAGTGGTTTACTATGTTCACAGAATTCTGCAACCATCACTACAGTCAATTTTAGAATATTTTCATAACCCCAGAAAGAAAGCCTGTACCCCCTAGCTGTCATCTCCCAAACCTCCTGTCCCCTTCAGCCCTAGGCAGCCACTTATCTACTCTCTGTCTCTAGATTTGCCTATTCTGGACATTTCACATAAATGACACCTTTTGTGAATGGCTTTTTCCCCTCCATGTAGCACAATGTTTTCAAGCTTGACTCATGTTGTAGTATATATCAGTGCTTTGTTTTTTTAGACCTCCAAAATATTCCATTGTATGGATAGACCACATTTTGTTTACCCATTCACCATTTGAGGGACATTTGGGTTGTTTCCAGTTTGGGGCTATTATGAATAAAGCTGCTATGAAGTTTTTTTGTGCCATATGCTTTCATTTTTAAAGTATATACTTAGGAGTAGAATTGCTGTGTCATATGGTAATGCTGTTTAACATTTTGAGGAATTGCCAAACTGTTTTCTAAAATGGTTGCACCATTTTACTTTCCTCTCAGCAAGGTATGAGAGCTCCAATTTTTCCACATTCTCGTCAACACTTGCTATTATCTGTCTTTTTGATTAAACCCATCCCAGTAGGTGTGAAGTAGCATCTTGATATGGTTTTGATTTGCATTTCCCTAGTAACTAATGATGTTGAGCATTTTTTCATGTACTTAGTGGACTTTTGTGTACCTTCTTTGGAAAGAATGCTCTTTACTCAGATCCTTTGCCCAATTTTTAATTGGTTTGTTATTTATCTTTTAACTATTGAGTTAAGAGTTCTTTATATATTCTAGATATGGATCTCTTATCAGATATATGATTTATAAATATTTTCTCATTCTGTGCATTGTCTTTGCGCTTTATTGATGGTGTCATTTGTAAGACAAAAGTTTTTTAATTTTGATGAAGTCTAATATATCTATAATTTCTTTTTTCACTTGTGCTTTTGGTATTGCATCTACGAAGCCTTTGCCCAACCCAAGGTAACAAATATTTACTCCTATTTTTTTTAAAAAGAATTTTATAGTTTTAGATCTTACATTTAGGTCTGTGATCTATTTTTAGTTAATTTTTGCATGTGGATATAGCTATCCATTTGTCTTAGCAGCATTTGTTAAAGACTGTTTTGTCCCCATTGAATTGTTTCAGCACGCTTGTTGAAAATATATTGATGTGAGGATTTATTTTTGACTCCCAATTCTATTCCATTGATCTATATATGTATGCTCACGCCAGTACCACACTGTCTCAATAACTGCACCTTTGTAGTGTTTTATCTTCTAATGGAAAAGTAAGGGCAGGAATGGGCAATCCAGACTTTTTCTTCGCTTGGTCTGACCAGTTAGTGGATTCTTCTGACCCCTCTTCAAGCCTTCAGCCACGCCTGATTTCTCCTCATTCATCTTGTTGGTTTAAGTAGGAGATGATATCCAAGCCATCTCGAGAACCCCCAGCTGCCGGGCCCCTGAGTTTTCTCTTCACAGGGTCAGCTAACTGAGTTCTGATTCCAGTAGCTTGGCTCTGGGCTTCCCCAGATGTACAGAATTGAACATTTGTGAAAAGGTGTACTGGTTTCTGAAACTCTCTAATTGATTAAGTTCAGGGCAATACAGCTTACTGTACTGTTAAAAGATTTAACGATCTTTCTGAACGGCTGCGCAAGCAAGCAGTCTGGCGGATAGCTCTCCCAGGTGGGCTGTGACGTAGCCTTTGAAGCCAAACTTTGCCCTCCCTGAGCCTTCCTTTCCTTGCAAAAATCTGCATCACTATTTTGCGAGCATCCAGTTTGCTAATATTAGCATCATTTTAGTAGTGGAGAAATGGAAGGCAAGAGATCTGTGGGAGAGGTGGAGTTCTGGACAAGGTCGCTTATCACCCCTTCAAGTTACTGAGCCAAAAAAATAAAAAGTCCACGTGACACCTGGAATTAACAATAGCCATCCTATAATTGTTGCCATTCTTTTCTGCTAGGAACTGTGTGCAGCACAAGCTCATTTTCAGATGATAGTGCCTAGAGTTTACATTATGAACTATAACATAATTTAAGTTAATTTTAATTTCCTGATTTGTATTGGACGTTAAAAAAAATCTATCGACAGAAACTGTCCTTCATCAAGAGCTTCTATTAAAGAGACCCTGCATATGGGGAGGGGTCAGGGAAGTGAACTCACCAGAAGGCAGTAGTTACAGGTTACAGAACAGGTTGTGGATTCAGTCCACCTGAATGCATTTCCTCCTAAGTGAACGTGGACAAGTTCCTTAATCTACCCAAGTCTCCGTTTCTTTGTCTTTAAAATGGTGATATGAATAGCACCCGCCTCCTAGAGTTGTTTACAGGTTGGACTCCCATGTGAGCCCTTAGTGTTTACCTGAGCGTCTTCTGGCTCACCCTCCAGGGCCCTTCTGGCTGCCGTTGGCTTCCTTTACTTCCTTCCTTGCACGCATAAGGGCCTCCTCTAGATGTCAAGGACTTAACCCAAGCAAGGGTTGACAGACATTTTCTGTAAAGAGCCAGATTAGTAAATACGTTAGGCTTTGTGACACCACAGGCCTTGTGGTCTTGGGCACAACCCCTCACTCTGCTGTTGTAACATGAAAGCCACAGACAGGTGCCCATGAAAGGGTGTGGTGGCCTTCCAATTACACTGTGTTTTTCGCAGCGGATGGCAGGTTGGACTTGGCCTGCTGGCTATAGTGTGCCAACCCCTGGCCTAGCATGGTGCCTGGCACGCTGTGGGTTTTTCATAAATGTCAGCCATCCTCGGAGCTAGGAACTGCCCCTTGACACTGGTCTCCTTGTTTTTAACAGAATGTCGAGGTCCTGGCCAGTCGGAGCACGGCTTCCGAGCAAACCCAGGTCGGGGCTGAGGCGCAGGTGAAGGCCCTGGAGGAGGAGAACGAGAAGCTGCGGGGAAGCCTTGCAGAACTGGAGCAGAGCGTTGCTCGGCTTCAGAGGCAGGTTGCTGACCTCAAAGACGACGAAGCCAAGGCCAAGGAAGCCCTCAGAAAATACGAGGTGAGGCTCCTGGGTGCCATGCCCAGCTGGGGCAGCTGCAATCCTTCTTTCCTGCGTGAGCGGTTCAGAGGCAGGAAGGGGTTTATTGTCATAATTTAGTAGGAAAGGTCAAAGCACTTGTGACTATATCCTCTCTGCACACCATTCCTTTTGTTTCTCTACAAGGGGTTTGAATGGGAGCTGAGCTTCTAACAAGGCGTGGGAACAGGGCTGATGATGTCAGGGTGGGCGACGCATGTGAAGGCACAGGAATCCCCGCCCACGCAGACATCAGACACACATCCCTTTTTTGGACACTGAGCAGAGGCCTCCGCAGACCCGAGAAGGCCGCCTGAACCCCACCTTCAGGCCTGTCCTCTTTCGTGGCCATTTACTCTTTGTTAACACACAGTTGATGGCTTTTGAAGTCACAAATCAGTTTAATAAACCAGCTCTCTGGTTTTCCAGGCTTGTAGAGGTGGGAGGCTGTTTGCAAGAGACAGACACTGATGGCAGCTGATGGTAAAAGAGGGGACAGAAGAAATGCAAAGGGAGATGTGTTCCAACAGAGCTCATGCGTCAGAATCACCTGGAAGCCTTTTCCAAAACTCTGTGCGCCTGAGTCTGTTCAGTACCTGCTCCAGGGGCAAAGCTGGATATTTGTATTTTCAAAAAACCATCCCAGGCGATTCAGATGTCCACATCTGGCTGAGTACAGAACTTCAGACAGGCACAGACACCCAGGAACACGGCTGTTGTGTGCCGTCTTGGGCCCACAGCACTGCTGGCTGGCTGTGGGTGTCTCCTTCACTCCTGTCAGGCTCCTGAGCCAGCCTCACAGCCACAGCTCACATCTACGCGCGCACTGACCCCATGTTTTGTTGTAGGGGGAGGCTTGGCAATTAGAGGAGGCCCTTGTGCGTGCAAGAAAGGAAGAAAAAGAAGCCACGGCAGCCAGAAGGGCCCTGGAGAGTGAGCTAGAAGATGCTCAGGTAAACGCTGAGGGCTGTTGTCTTTATCCCTCTCACAGGAACCCAAGAGCAAAGTAGGAGGGACATGCACAAATTGCCATTGGCCCTCACCTTCCAGGTTGCTCCTTCATCATAGTAACCACCCTGACCTCAAAGTAGCCATCGAAACCAGTGGTCCTTAACTGGAGGACCTTTGGCAATATCTGGAGGCATTTTGGGTTGTCACAATAGGGGAGATGCTACTGGCATCTAGTAAGTAGGGGCCAGGGATGCTGCTGAACATTCTATAGCACAAAGCACAGGACAGCCCTCACAGCAATGAATTATCTGGCCCCAAGTGTCAATTGTACAGGGGCTGAAAAATCCTGGCCTAGACATTAAAGAGCTTGACAGCTTTCTAAAGATAAAATATGAGTTGTATAAAAAGGCCAGCAGGATTGGTCCCCAAGGCAGTGTGGAGTTGACTGTCTGGCAGAAGCCAATTTTCTCTCCCCTCTGGGCAAATAGACTCCAGAGAGTGCAGCCCTTGAAGAGGGCTTTAAAAGGAACAGGAGGAAGTCGCTTCCTTGAAACTAGATAGCTATCTCTATTCAAAATCAGTAGATTCTTAGAAATTAGATTTTCCCATTTGAAGGTTAGGAACCTTGATTGAAGTGTATTCTTAAAAAAAAAAAAAAAAAATCTGCGCTGAAGTTCATGTTGACTCTGCACAGTGACCTCCCCGTGATCCAGGTCTGTCCTCCTTTCTGCCTGCTCGCAGGTTTTAAAGAACCAGCACCAAGTGTCCCTCAGGTGAGTGTCTGAGGAGGTAAAAGCTGATGTTTTTGAGCAGTTATCTAAGAGGAGGTTGTTACAGTTTCCCATTAGGACTTTGAGGGCAGGAGGGGGAGGGGCGCACAAAGAGAGGAGCGAGCTGACCGCGTCCAGATTGAGACTTGCGAAGGCCTGCTGGCGGCTTTCTTTCCGGGTGCAGCCCTGTCTCTTCAAGGTGGAGGAGAGGAGCCTGCCTGCACTAGGATTCACTTAGGTGCCCCATAACTCAACCCCCTCCTGCCGCGCCCCCATCAGCTATCTCTGCCTTCTTTCTGGCTTTGGGCAGAGACCCCATGTTTGTATATAACAAAGCCCTGTTTTTTCCTGAGGTTGGTGTCTGAGTGTCCTTGCTTTAGATTTCTCTCTCTCCCTCTCCATCCCCCCTTCTCTCCGCGCCTCCCATCCATCCATCCGTTCCATCCATTTGATCTTTGTTACAAACTCTTGTTCAGTTGATTTTGAGTGGATGGCAACTCCACTGTGCTGCTGTTTATGGTCTGTGAAGGCTACAACCCAGCTGCCAACAAGCGGGATTTAAATCTGGGAGCTAGTTGGGGACAGAAAGGGAGAAGAAACATTTGTACTCTACAGGGACAAAAATCTGCACCCTCATGTCCTGTGCACACGGAACGCTGGGGGCAGCTGTTAGCGGCTCGCAGTCTTCATTGTCCTTCGGTCAAGCCAGAAAGTTTCGCACATAAGGAAGTAGCTCACCAGCTGTGAACCCAGGCTCATAGTTAATTCAGGGGAGAGAACAGATGATGGCCTCAAGACCCAAAGATCTTAATGTAATCCCCATCCACCCCCACCTCTGGATCTCTGCCCTTACCTTGGAAATTATCCCTCACATGTTGCTTCTGTTCGAGCCTGTTCTCCTAGGGTGTTGAGGTGGTGAGAATGCTCTGTGCTGTGTGTGGCCATTTTAACACAATCCAGTAGGAATTTTAAAAGGGCCCGGCCATCTTACTGTCCTTAATCTGAATGATCTGGCCTCAAAAATAGTTCTGTGAAAAGGGCACCATCACTCTAAAATACTTCCTTTTCTCCAAAATCTGGAAGCAGATAGTCAGCTCCTTTAGTTTGGCACCACCCTGTGCATGCCTCCCTTCCCAAAGCTGGCCCCCGAAAGGGGGCTTAACCCTGAGAGAAAAGAGGAAAGAATAAGATCTTCCCCCCCAGACATGCGTTTTACATTTCAAAATCTTTCTGCCTTAGCTCTATTTCCTTATAGTAGCTGAATACCATGTGAAGTTAGGTCTGACTTACTATGACTCAATCAGAAAGTGGCAAAGGGTTCTGAAGATGCCGTTTTTGGTTTGCTGGACCCCTACCACTTGGTCTAGGATTATGTTGCCATGTAGATCGACTTGAGGGTTTCATTCAAGACAGAAATGTCTGTGATTCCCTTGAGAAATGGCCTCTGCAGAAGGGCAAGTGAAGACACCTTTTCTGGAGAAGACACAGGTTTTTCCCTCATGGAGGGATAAGGGTTTGTATTCTGCATACCTTCAGCTCCCCTCATTGGACTTCAGAATGAAAAAGCCCCAGTGCTTCCACTGTTGCAGTCCATGGTTACGGTGTGGCAAGGACTCTGGGAAGAGGAGCTTCCTTCTGGCCAGCCTCTCATTCCTTAAGCCCTGAGACTCAGCTGCCACTTGGTTATTGTTAATGTGGACGAATCAGGATATTACTAAGTCATGTGGTAAAAGGCTCTGCATTCATTGACAGATAATAAGCTCAAGGGCACTCACTTATACAACCACCAACTTTCTGTTTTGGTTTTTCCAAGTTGATACATTTTCCCCAAGATTTGATTCTGGTATGAGTCAATGGGCTTGTATTGTTGGCCTTGGATATAGAGTCAATTAGCTACAGAGCATTTCACTCCTGACTCCTAAATGCAAAGTTGCCAACTTTGCTTCTTTTCATATGTATTTGGGACGTGTTTTCTGAGCAGTGATGTATTGGAACATATTTCTTGAATAATGAAGAGGCAGAGCATTGTATTGAACAACATTTCTAAACTTTAGAGTACATTAGAATTACTGGGGTAACTTTCAAGTGCAAATTTCTGGGCCCCAGTCCTAGAAAAAACTGTGGATTCCTTTAGAAAAGGCTAGAATCTGCATTTTAAGGAGTACTCCCCACGTGCTTGGTGATTCTAAGTATTTAGACCACTTTAGGGGATAGATATTAATTTTCAACCAATGGATTTTTATTGTATGCCTAACAGTGAATCTGGGCTGTGAGACATACCCAGACAGAAAATCTATGCCTTGCCTTTAGAGATCTTACTACCCTGCAAGAGAGACAAGCATACAAGAAATATTTTAAAAATAATTTAGCCCAAACTATTCTTCTAGGAAAGTGTGTGTGTGTTGAGGGGGGAGTGAGGGGTGTTGGCCAGGCCCCAGGCCAGAGTGGATGAGTCTTGGTCTGCAGGCACTGGAAAGCGGAGCTGGGTGGTGAGCCCCGCCTGAGCCACGGGTGAAGCGGAAACGCACGCAGCACATGCATTTGTGAACGGAAGAATGGAGCTGGGACTGGCTTGTCTGCTGGCCTGGGGTCCCTGGGACTGGGATTCAGGAGGAAGAAAAGGACAGGGCAGGGTTGGGTTGGATCCTGAAGGTTCTATGGGAAGCCACTGATTGCCCTGTGTATTTGCATTTGTTTTTCAAGAATTTACATTTTGGGATACATGTTTCTCAGAGTTTTCTCCCGTGCAATAAAACCAGCCATTGCTTACCTTATCCTGTGTGTTCCCCCTTGCCCCAAACACTACTGAGTCAGCCACAGACAAATCCCAGGCATCGACCCTGTCTCTGGTGTGTGCCCTGCTGGGCTGTGGTGGGAAGCACTCCTGCCGGTTGTCCCACACGAACCTCTGATTGCCTCTCTTTAGCACCTTTTCTTCCCCCAACCACTTTTGTTGACTTTGGTTCCCCACAGCAATTAACTCGAGCAGCCTGGCTGGGTTGGCTGGACTTTTGCCTGCAGTCAGAGCCAGAGGGGCCAGAAAGGCCTCCACAGGTGGCTTTTTGGCCCCAGGTCAGGTGGTTGGCCAGCCGAGCTGTTCACAGGCCCAGCAAACCAGGAGTGCCTGAAGTGATTTGGGAGTGTTTTCAAGATGCCCGAGCTATTGCACATGTGACAGAAACTTGTAAATTGTTAAGCACTGCAAACGTATAAACCAGTCTCTGTATCCAGCCTCTACAGGGCGCACAGTGAGTAGGTCCTAAGCAGTACCTGCGCTAACCCACATTCAGCCCTCAGCACCTCACAACACTTTCCGGAAGAGCCAGCCCGTGTATGGCCCTGCTGCTCCTTTCTGAGCTGTGCTTCTTCTTGACATCCTCACACCAGTGAGCTCAGCACTCAGCCATTTAAAGAAGCCACTTTACAGTGGTAACCTTCCTAAGGTATTTTAGGATTTTGTTGTAGAATTGCATGTTTTTTACAGAAAGGGCTTCAGCTTATGCGAAGTTGTAAGATGAGAGCTGCAGAGAAATCGAGGGCAAATATCACCCCAGAGATGGTTGCATTTTATAGTAACTACTAGTATTTGGCGCTGATTCACTAAATATCCATTTGTATGCACTTTTTCTGACTGGTGTCTCTTCCATTTAACACCTTCTACTCATCAAGTTCATCAGCCTGTGGATTGCCAAGTTCCTCTGTGTATGAGTCCGACCCTTGTATTTTCCCTGTACCCAAGGGGAGCCTTGGCCTATGGACAGTGTTCTCTGTCCTTATAGGTTTATTTTTAGTTGTTTTTTTATCCTCACCCAAGGACATGTTTATTGACTTTTTTTAGAGATAGAAAAAGGAAGAGAGAGAAAGAAAGAAAGGAGGGTGGGGGTAGAGAGACAAAGGAAGCAGTTGCCTCACAGATGCACCCGAACCATGGGTCGAACCTGCAGCCTAGGTATGTGCCCTGACCAGGATCGAATCCGCAGCCTTTTGGTGTATGGGACAACTGAGCCACCCAGCCAGGACCACTTTTAGTGTTTTAACTGTAATGATCATCTGCATAGGAGAGCGAATTCAAGAATATTAAGTGCAATGCTGTGTATCGCAGGATGTAAACTGCCATGTAGGCTTAGGTTGGTCTCAGGTATAACTTCACCTCAATTTTCAAGCAGGAGCAATCAGGTTTTCAGACACTAGCCCCACAGCCTCGGCCGTTTTGCACCCTTTGTTTGCCTCTGTGTGTTTTTGGCTAAGTCAACTTGGTCCCTGAATTTCTGAAGCAGCAGCGTCCTTGTGTCTCTGCGATGGCTTTATTTTGATCCTTTTCCTTATCACCAATGCGACAGGGTCTGATTGCTTTGTGGTGTGGTTGTGAAACTCCCTCTGCCTCCTGTCCTTGGCGCTGACCTGGTAGGTAGATGACAACACTGTCCTTTGCCTGCCATCTGCAGAGAAATCTGAGTCGGGCCACCCAGGAGCAGAAGCAGTTGTCTGAGAAGCTAAAAGATGAGACCGAGCAGAAGGAGCAGTTAAGGAGACTGAAGAATGAAATGGAAAATGAGCGGTGGCACCTTGACAAGACCATTGAAAAACTGCAGAAGGAGGTGAGGGAGCAGGAGGGAGGAGGGAGCAGAGGGAGGAGAGGGTGTGGGGCGCATGCCTGGGCTGGGACCCAGACCCCTCTGAGGGCCCGATGAAAGCTAAGAAAACCTGCAGTTATGTGTAAGCACAAATGTGTCGGGGACCTGTGGATCTCCTGAAACAGCTTTTTGGACTTGTAGAGAATCCCAGATACAGAGAAACTGTTCTAGAATATGCCAGGACCCTCTTGATTCTGGGCCTGGTGGCTGCTTCTCAGTTAGAAGTGAGTAAACCTGGACAGCCCATGACAAGGCCCTTTGTGGCATTTTGAGGAGGGTGTAGAAGAAAGAAGAGGAGATATGCTCTGTGTTTAGATGGGACCCAACCCTAGTTCCCTGGTCCTGGGTGGAGCATCACAGGGTGGGCTCACACCCATGTCCCTTCTTCCAGATGGCTGACATTGTCGAGGTGTCCCGCACATCAACGCTGGAACTCCAGAACCAGTTGGATGAATACAAGGAGAAAAACCGCAGGGAGCTTGCAGAAATGCAAAGGCAGTTGAAGGAGAAAACCCTAGAGGTAGAAAAGTCCCGCCAGACTGCTGCAAAAATGCAGGAGGAGGTAATGCCTGGCCAGACCAGTTCCTGGTTCCCCCTTATTCAGAGAATCCTTCCAGGCTGTGAAAATCCTAGGGGTATTTCCTAGGGGAAAATCCTAGGGGACTTGGGGTAGATCCTTAAGAGAACCTTTGTGCTTGATTCCTCAGTCTTAGCCTTAGTGTCATTTCCCCCCCATTACGTGAGCAAATGTAAGACGCAGTGGACCCTAGACCTCTAAGGTGAACTTGATAAAACTTTAAAACTGTAACTTGACCATTTTCTTGGCTAAGCCACGATTTTTTGCCTAAAAAGTTTAACTACCATTTATGGAGCACAAGTGGTGTGCCCAGCTGTGTCCAAATGATTTATATGTATTAATGTTTTAATTTTATCCTAGAACAGGGATTATAGTAACTGTGGTTTTCCCCCATTTGTTTAGAAAATATAGACTTTTATTGGCGTGAGAATGGCAGACAAGAGTTTCAGAACACTAATGGAGGCAAAAAGAAATCTTCAGGAATTTATGAGTATTGAAATTATTAAAACATAGAGCAAAGTAACTCAAATGTTAGCTCCCTTCAGTCTCGACTTCTGAAGAACTGAGAGAAAATAAAGGGACTGGTTTTGATTATTTTAATGGAAAGCTGAAGGCTCTAAAATGCAAATACATGAATGCTGATTTCTAGCTATGTTTCTTGCCAGCTGGATGACCTTGAGCACATTACCCCAATTTTGTGAGCATCTGTTTCTACCTCTTTAAAAATATAGAAAATAATAATGATTTAATAATTAAATGAGAGAACATGTGGAACTATGTAGCAGAGGGTCTGTATATCCTGGATACTAATGTTATTATTATTTTATTCTATGCCTTACTTTTTTCATAAGCAGTGCCAAGAGCACTATGATTTCACAGGAAGACAAGTTTTTCTTTAAAAAACAAACTTTTAATATCTTTGATGATCAAAGAGAAGTCACCCATGAGTCAGTGTTGACCGTGTATGGAAGAACAATGGATATTTATTACAGACTTAGGAACATGTCTGAAAGGATCCTGATAACAGACCCCCTCTGGCTCAGCGTCAGGTGATGGAGGAATCCGAGTAAAAACTGAAATTAGCTTATTGACATCACAGTTCTCTTTGGCATTAAAAACCATTTTCATTTCTACAGCAGGTGGGCGGGGGATTCAGATATTTGCCAGGACACCAGCAAACACCTGGGGTGCAGTTTTGATCTTAGAAAGTCATAGCGTCAGAGTGACCCCTGCGAACAGCTTCTGTTGCTTTTTCTCTGATGCTTATTCCACTAGAATCTTCTGATTGGAAGGAACCTTAGTGATCTTCTTGTCAGATCAGGAAACTGAGATCCAGAGAGGTTAGTTAAGGCCAGATGGAGGCCAATGTTGTCTGTGAAAAAAAGCACTACCTCAAAAAGGATTCCTTATGATGAAAACAAAGACGGCCTTTCCTAGATTTTCTCAAGGGGAAAGTCCTGCGAGACAGTTCCCACTTGAATAGTGGAAACGGACACCTCATCATTCTACAAGGACATGGCAGATACCCCCCTGAATCAAGCTGCTGAAGCCTTGGAGTTGTTTAAGACAAAAGCAAATTACCAAGGCAAGTTCACTCAGGACCCTTGAAAAACTCAAGTTTGCTGCCCCCCACCTCCCCCAAGCACAATAAAAGAAAAGAAAAGAAAAGCAGTCCATCCCAAGTGCTGTCACATTCTCCTTTCCTTTGAGAGAAATAGACATTTTACCTATTTTGTCTTTGGCGTGGAGCTAAGAAAGTTCTGATGTCGACGATCTTTAGAGAATTTAAGACTTAGATTTTACTGTTGTTCAGTTTACCTTCTGAATATCACTTAGCAAAGGGCAGTTTTAACTATGTAAAGGCAGCATGAGTAGCTTCAAAAGCTATTTGCTGACTTGTTTCTGATACTTTGCAGTTTTGCTGTTGTGCACGTACTGCCACAGCCCTTGAGAGACGGTCCAGGGACATCCTGGGCGTCGGGCGGAAGGGATGTGCTGCGCAGGGGGCTGACGGGCCCTGCCGGGCATCGGGAAGGGTGCCGACGCGGAGATGCGGGCTGTACATTTACCTGTCAGTCTTTCTGACTCTCAAACCCAAGTTCTCTTCTCGTATTATTTCACCTGATTCTCATAACAGCTCTGTAAGGTAGGTTTTAAAATTATTCCAATACTGCAAATTAGGAAACTGAGAGATTGGAGAGGTTTTGAATGTTCTGGGGTCTAGTGCACCCTCTCCGTAGCCAAAGACTATCCCATCATCCTTTTTTCATGGGATGATATTCACTTAGTGCTTTCACTCACGGTTTCATTCCCTAGTTGTCTTTTCAGTTACCACCAAAGCCAGACTAGCGTTTTTATCAGGAGAGGACTCCTTCTAGGCTATGCTGTTTTCATAGGAATGTCAGCCAATCCCATCCCATCAGCCATCAAAAAAGGAACACATTTCTTAAAGTTCTCCCACTGGTCTTCCTAAAATAGTCTAACCTATTGAGTACCCCCTGCTCCCCCAAGATCATCTTTGGAGCTTTCCCAACTTTTCTGTGAAAATCGCCCCCAAGTGATTGTATTCTGTCATGGAGTTTGCCTCTCCATATTTAACTCTCATATGCTCCTTGAAGGAAATAACCCCCTGGTGTAGTCTATGCCTAAGATGCTGCTTTCAACCTTCTCCAGGAAGGTAGGAAGTTGAGAACAAAACAGGCAGCCTTGGACTTTACCACATCTGTCCACACAGATGTTTCAGGAATACCTAATGTGGGAGGAGCTGGCTCATCCCTTCAGGAAGATTCCAGACAAGGGGAAAACCGGACTGACGATCTTGTGAATCAAGCTCTAGTCTGATGCCGCCTTCAAAGCTGTTAGTTCAGTGCCACCTTGTGGATGAAAAGAGCACTGTCGGTTATGACCTCTGATGACAGATTTTCTTCTAGGGAGCAGTGGTTTTCACCTAATGGGCATGTCTATATTATTAGATTCCATGCCTGCAGTTTGCTCTATGGTCATTAACTTGGTCTTTTTTTCCCCTAACTTCAAACTTCTGTTGAAATGATGCTGATCCTGGTGGGCAATCAGTTATACTCTGGGAAGCGCTTATCTAGTTCGGTGGCTTTTCATGTTTCTGATCATGACCTAAGAAAGAAATACCTCTTGCATTGCAACTTAGTAATGCATACATCCCTACCAATAGATGAATATTTAGTGTAAAGTTTTCACAAAACAGTATTTGCTTGTACTCTGAGTATATTTTAAAAATCTTCACCCAAGGATATATTTATTGATTCCAGATGGGGTTGGGGGGAGAGAGAGAGCGAGAGAGAGAGAGAAAGAGAAAGAGACATTGATGTGAGAGACACATTTATCAGTTGCATCCCAGGTGAGCCCCAATTGGAAAATGAACCCACAACTTTTCAGTTTATAGGATGACGCTCCAACCAAGTTAGCCACACCAGCCAGGGCCCGAGTATTTTTAAAAATTTATAACACAGTGGGTTGCTCCCTGTAGCTGGAAGCTCCGTCTTTTTATAGAAGAGGAAACTGAGGCCCCGAGGGCAGTGGCCACTGGCTCAGGTCCTCTGCTCTCCAATAGTATGGGTCTCCTTGGGCTCCGCTTGCCCACTGCCCATCAAGATCTCTGAGCCCCCGATGTGCCCAGCTAAGCGCCCCAACCCCTTCTCATCCTAGATGCGCCTGATGGAGGAAGAGCTCCGGGACTACCAGCGAGCTCAGGATGAGGCACTCACAAAGAGGAAGCTTCTGGAGCAGACGCTGAAGGACCTGGAGTACGAGCTGGAGGCCAAGAGTCACCTCAAAGATGACCGCAGCCGACTGGTCAAGCAGATGGAGGTCTGTGGGCCACGTGGGCGACCCCAGGGCCTGGGGAGAGCAAGTGGGCACATGAGGGAAGCGAGCTCTCTGCTTAGACCTCAGCCTCTGAGGACCCTTCAATTAGGAAGGCCAGTTCTTGATTTGGGGGAGCTGGTAGTTCATTGACTCTTAGGACACCCACGCTGGAAGAAGTGGTGGAAGTAATTTAGCCTGGTGTCCTCATAAGAGGAAGCAAAACAGAGACCCAAAGAGGTTAGGAGCTCTTACCTAAGGGCACCTGGGTCGTTCATTTTCTGTGTGCTGCTTTGGGCTGTGCTTTCCATTACACTGAAAAGGGAGAGAATACTGCTGCAAATCTAGACAGGGGTGGAGCTGTGCCTTGAGTCCCAACTGCTGAACTTCCAGGGACATACAGCACTCGTTTGCCACACCACATGCTCTGTTACTGTTTGCTGATTTTGACCCATTTTCCCTTACAGATGATCCATCTTTGCCAAAGCCAGCAGCAGACTGGCTCAGTTCACTTTTGGACACACAGTATAAACACAGTCCAAGGGAATATATCAAAAGGTGCTCAATGGAGCCACCAGCTGGGGGTGATCTGTTTACAGGATGAAAACAGCACATTAAAAAAGTGAATCAAGTAATAGAATCTAAGTACGAACAGCCCACCGAGAATTACAGAAAGAACCTTACTATCAGCCCACCTGAGCTTATGGAAAAGAATGATCTGCAAGAACAAAACCAACCTCAGACCAGAAAATCCTCGATTCTTGCCCCTCCCCCACATACACACACCCCACGTCCCAATGGAGTTTAGAGGGAGAAAGAGGCCTAAAAATCATCCTCGGACCTATGTGAGAAGTTAAAATTGTCAAGGTTTTGATAAAGGGCAGAGAGCGCTCAAGGCCAGGAAGAGATAGCTTAAATTTAAAATCAATGAAATTCCTGATTCAACTTTGCAAATAAATAGAAATAACTTTTAAAACCTTCAGGGGACTTAGTAGCAGTTCCATCTAGGGAGTGATGTCTCAGCCATTAAAGATTTCATTGGATGGGCGCCTTTTATAGGTTAGGGTAACCTGGTTACAGTTTTCTAGGATTGCTGCTGCCTTTTTTGCTAATATGCTGGTTCTGATCTCATTAGGGGAGGTCACTTTAAGGCAAGTTAAACCCAACCCAGTTAACTAGGAAGTAATTATTCTAGGATCCACATAATTTGGTTCAAAGCAAGCTCGAGCCTCGTCAGGCCGTGGTGTAAGAGCCTTTGGTGTAATGACCCGTGGCCTGGCCCCGGAACGCTCCTGCTGGGTTGTGGACAGCACACATTTTAGGCAGGAAGAGAACCCTGTGAAGAGGTGCTTTTGGCTAAACATCAGGTTGTCAGGTCATCTCCTTCTAGAATAGTCTGACTAAAAAGAACATTTCCTTTTGCTCACTCAAGGTCTAGAAGCAGTGGCATAACTAAGTTTCCTTTGCCCCCCCACCCCCGCAATATTTTAGATAGTTCTTCATTAATTACCAAATGAATAGCGCTCCAGGCCCCGCCTCCATCAGGCGCACAGTGGAGCACAGTGGAGGGGCATTTCCCCCGCTAAGAGGCAGCTGGCACAACTGTCTTGCTGCGACTACTATTTTGCCTGTTCCTTCACTAGCATTTAAATTCATTCTCAGGACTCAAGGGCTCTCTCAACAATGAGCATTTTCTGTAAACACAGAAACTCAGGTGCCTGTTTTATATAAATGTGACACATGTTTCTGACTTGAGTGAAACTGGCCTCAGAGGAGTCAGGGACCATGAACAAACAGGAGGTTTGGTGCAGGACTCAGTGGTCTGTCTTGACTTGGACTTTGGGACTCTTGGCTACTGGGACAGAGCTCTCTGGGTTCCCTATAGACTTCAGTCAAAACAGGGAAGGCATTCACAGACACATAGGCACTCATGTGAGTTCTGTGACTTTTTTCTTAAAGATTTTATTTATTTATTTTTAGAGAGAAGGGAAGGGAGGGAGAAAGAGGGAGCGAAACATCAATATATGAGAGAAACATTGATCGGTGACCTCTTGCACAACCCCAACTAGGGACCTGGCCCGCAAGCCTGGCATGTGCCTTGACTGGGAATTGAACCAGCAGCCTCTCATTTCTCAGGCCAGCACTTAATCCACTGAGCCACACCAGCCAGGGCTGTGACTTTTCTTTTTGGCACTTACAAAGGCATTCATAGCTTGTCAGTCAATGTTGACGATGGCAGAAACAATATTTATGTACAGATGCCTCTGACTCCTGTTTAAAAACTTGCAGTGCTGATTGCTTTCTTGTGTGTGTGGCTCTGAGTTAACCCAGACATATGACAAATTGGCTGGTGACAGTAGAAACACATGCACAAACCCCACATCCCCTAGTTTTAGGTGCGGTGGTTTATGTTAGAAGACTCTTTCTATTCATACACAAAGCTACTTTGCAATTCTTTTCTCCTAACATTCAGTGATGTTGCATTCGGAGCCAGCAAGGAAGGTAGCAATTACGCTTCTGCTGTGGTGGTTGGTTTAGCAGAATGGGCCGATACTATGTCTGTATTATTCTGATGTGGATCTGGGACTGTACAGAATGAATTGAGGTTCCTTAGAAGAAAGAGGCAGGTGCAAAAGACTGTTACAGGCCTGACTCCTGCAAGGCTCTTGGAAACTCAGAGCAGGAGGGAGGGAAAACATTGTCCCAAGCTTGGAGCCTTTAGAGAAATGTACCTTGGGTGATATCTCATTTCCCACATGTACTCAGATACCTTAGGTTAAGGTAGATCTTAGTAGTTTTTGGTTCATAAGAGGGAAAAAAAGATCTGGAAGAAAAATGCTAAACTACTCTCAGTGCTTATGGTAGGGTTTGGGGCAATACTTTTCTCCTTTAATGTGTTTCTTAGATGCACAATTACATTTTACATCATGAAAGCAATAAAACACAGTTTTAAAAATATCTGCTTTGGACAGTAGGAGAAACAGACACAGACTTTCCCAAACCCTAGTGACACTCCGCTCTGACGTGCCCTTGGGGTTTCCTTCCATGGGGCAGTCCTCGCTCCCGACCCAGGTCAGTGTGAGTTAGTAGGCTGTGTTGTGTCTTGTTTCTTAGGACAAGGTGTCTCAACTGGAGATTGAACTGGAAGAAGAAAGAAATAACTCGGATTTGCTGTCTGAGAGGATCACTCGGAGCAGGGAACAGGTACTGTATGGAGGGGACAGGGGGTGGATTGTCCTGCATGAAAGAGGAAATGCGAGGTTAAACGTGAGGATTCAGCTAGAGGAGGGAAGAGAGTTCATGCCTACGGAGATGATGGAAGATTGCAAAGTCTTCCCCATAGTAAGCCAGTAGGAGGGAGGTGCAATATATAACGTAAGGCATCAAGTGGAAGCTCCCCGAGCGGTTATGGATATCAGTCTATTAGCCATAATAGGCAAAGTGCTTTTAGAGCTCAGCCTCTAAGAATCATTAGTTCAGCAAACAATTGTGTGAAATTTGGTAGATAGCTCTATATTAGTGCAATGGAAAGCAAATGATATGATGCAGTCTTTTACTCTAAGGACTTTACAAGCTAATTAGCAGTATATAAACCTATGAGGCATTCACAGTAAAAATAACAGTACCTTCAAAGTGAATGCTTTTTGCCGTTTTTGAAAGGAGTTTCACTTACTTGATCCTTATAGCAACACTGGGGGCAGCTACAAACAGTTCACCCTGCACTCACACTGTAGACAATGGAACTAATCTTCCAAACTAGATTTAGTATAATTGCAAGGCTTTAGATTTTGTTTCCATTTTTAATTAAGGAAGAGCACAGAGTGGTTAAGTCATATCCTGGAGATGGAGTATCACATCGCTAGAAACTGGCGGCCATGCCCCACCGCATGCCCAAACCACTCAAGAGACAAAATATGCCAACAGTATGGGGGGAGGGATCAGAACACTCAGTGACAGTTTTGAGGAGAACTTACATTCACTAATCTCAGCCTTTCCTTTACATGCTGCCGGGGGTACCGGTAGAAACGTGCCGCGGGACGTGCTTTCAGTGACAGCTGAATGCCTTGCTCCTGCAAACAGTGCCAGAGAGTCGGGACGTAGACGTTGTGGAAACTATTCACCTCTTGCTTTGCTTGGGGCACTTTCTTAATTAAACATTGCAAACAAAACCTAAAAATCTTGGATGATGCTGAGTAAAATTTAGGTAATTATGTGTATAAAGAACTGACATAAAAAAAAAAATCTGAAACACCAATTAATTTGGGCAAAAATCTTCCCTATCAAAAAAGCACTTTCCTCTGGTCACTCTTACACTTTTTCACATCACCACCATACCCCCGTCTCAGCGTGACCAAGAACTGGAGGTTCCAGTGCTTAGGGACAGTGGCGTCTGAGCTGGTAACCTCTGCTCAAAGTGGAAGGAGAATCACTGGCTTCTTTTCCATCTTCCACTGTTTCTCTGTTGACAGACAGGTTCTTCGCAAACAGGTAAGATAGTTGTGCTGCTTTGCTCCTGAGAGTGAAGCAAGTTCCAACCGGAGGCTCCATCCACGCCCCCCGCCCCGAGCTCAGCCTCTGCTGGTGGGTCCCAGTGCTGGTCTGGCAGCGTTCCTCCGGAGGGTGGCTGTCTGTCCAGCCCTGTCCATCCAGCCGGAGCTGCAGAAAGTTAGAGAAAGATCTTCATGGAAACCTGAGGTCCAGGTGGAGAGCCCCACTGTGACCTTTGAGCCCTACTAGGTTCTTGCGAAAGCTGCATGTTCTAAGTTCTCTCGCTGGTATAAAAGCTGTTTTGTTACCCAGCCTGGCTAAGTAGCCACAGTACCACAGGGCATTTTGGGATCTGCTAAGCATTTATAATGAGAGAAGAAGTAGCCATAAATTTGTTTTACTAATGCTTCTTATGACTTATGCAAGGGAGGGGGGTGGGTGTGCAAGAATAACCAGGCAGTTAAAACAGACTTCCAGATCCATGTTTTACACCTAAAACAAAACACAGACAAACTGACCCAAAAGGTGGTTGCCTCCCTTGGTTCAGCGGATGGCCCTACACTAAGAAATTGATGTCTTGTTACCCCCTGGTTACTGGGATCCTGGGGAAGAGAACGGCTCTCCGTGACTGCGTCACGGTTGAAAGTAGTTTCACTGAGCCAAGAACTTAAAGTTAGCCCAGGGAGGAAGTTACGGGAACTACCTCGCTCAACTGGAAAGAGCACTGGGCTGCAAGCCTACATTTGTCAAGGAGATTTCTGAAGGGTTTTCTAGATTCTAACACTGAAGTGCTGTGAGACGGTTTTGTAACACGCAAAGTGTCTGAGTCATCCTTTAACTCCGCCATTTTCCCCCTGCATCTGAGTTATATGCCTCAAAGGATGAGTTTCACAAAGTCTCTAGCCTCTTAGCCCTATTAGCTGTCTTTCCTCTTCTATTTTCTCTCTCCTCGCTGCACTGGCTCAGGTACCGAGGGTGAAGAAAGCCTGGTGTCTGTTCTAAGAGGAGAGATGGAGTATCATGTTCAGATTGATGTAGGAATTGGTAAAACGAGAACAAAACCAACCCCTGAAACAAGGTGATGCCCCCTGGTTGAGGGCTCAGGGCCTCTCCTCTGGCCGGCCGCCTGGGGTTGTTTGTCATGACAGGTAGAAAGGATTGACCATACACCTCCTCAAGGAAAGCATTTAATTTTTATTCAAAGTCAAAGTCGGCGTGAGACTTCTGTCTGGCTCCTTAACACAGCAGCTCTGAGTTGAGGGTCCTGGGTGTAGACAGCTGGGCCCTGAGTTTGAAGCTTCTGGAGTCCATTTAGGTTAACTTTTAGGGCCACGTGCCTGTTGCCTTCCTGCTGAATCAGAGAAAAGGGAAACTTCCAAACCTAAGGCCCCTTCTCTGCTCCCTCAAATGCTGACCTATGACCCTAACAGGAGACGTCTCCTAACGCGCAGGAAATGCTGCCTGCCTGTTACCTCCAACCTGGTTTCTATCATCTACCCTGGATGCTCAGCAAACTGCTACTGGCACTCAGAGGGAGGGTGTGGGGTATTTAATTTTTTGGCTCTTGCATTCTTTAAATTTAAAAGTAAAAGTTCACCACTCTACTTAACATAAGCTCCTCTTCTGAATCTTTTTCCCCTAAGCACCCATCCTTTTTCCTAGTCTTAGTGATTGGGCTCAGGTGAAAAAGCTAGGGAAAAAAGGCTTCCCAGCAATATTAGCAAATGGCTGGCCTCTCTTGCAGAATCCAGCAAGGACCTCCGAGTTCGTCTCCCCAGACTTCTTGTGCAGTGGAGGAGAGATCTGAGGCCCCAAGACACCGTGGTCCGGCCAGGTCACATGGCCAGTTAGTTGCAGAGCCATCTTGGGTCTCTGCATTCCTAAGCCAGTGTTTTACCCACCAGTGCCTGCCAAGTGCGATAGACACCTACTGCATGCACTGCAGTAAAGCTGTGAAATGATCAAAAGTGGGTCCTGTCTTTGAGATGCTGGGGTGTGTTTGAAGGGATGGAGCAGGCCTGAAAAATGGATAACTAACAGGAAAAAGCAGCAGATACTAAGTGCCATGTGAAGGATTCAGGCAGCTGATGAGGAAAAAAACCATCATAACAAGACTGTGGAAGAGTTCTTCGAGGACAGTGGACTTGGAGCTTGCTTTGAAAAAAGGGTAAGATTTACACAAATGAAGAGGAATGGGAATGGAATCCTAGAAAGAATGAATGGTGTGAGCCAGGTCTGGGAGGTAGGATACGGACAGTATTTTGTGGAGCAATGAATAGACTGCTGTGGCTTGATCAGGTTTCTGGTGTCATTAAGGGAATATTAAGAGAGGCAGGCTGAGGGTTTTGAATGGGCTCTATCCTGCCAGCACTGGGGAGCCACAGAGGGTTATTGAACAGAACAGTGAGGCATGCAGAGGGGTCTGCAAGATTAATGTAGCTGGGGGTGGGGTGAGGTCAGGAGAAGGAGGGGCCTGGAGGAAGCCTCAGCTGGGCTGTCCTCGGGGACAGAGGACAGGGAAGACAGTGTGATAGCAAACCTTCTGTCTTTTTCATGTCTTTTTTCTCTTTCTCATGTATACAGCTGATACTCAATAGATGCTGGCCACATTATTTGTGAATTCCCAGACTTTCAAAGGCCATTGTTTCCCGTACGTGATCTGGATATTATTGTTCAAACTGACAGATTCGGGGAATCCCAATTGAGAGACACATTTTTCATACTTTTGGATGCTTGGATTTTGTTTTCAAATCTGACTAGTATGAAGGAGAAGGGATGGATGTGGATTTGATGGAAAGTGAGGGATATTTGTTATCTCACTCAAATATAGTTTTACCTTATACAGGGGGGTTTCTGATTGACTTCAAGCTGAAGGAAAATTCAATTAAATAGATGTATTTTACTATCTTTTGGTTTGTTTAAATCTAGAGAATCCTTTTTTCCCTTCTTCCTCCAAAACCAGGTACCCATGTATGACAGTGGCCCCCTCCCCGAGGATCCCCTCGGTGCTGGGTGCCGGGCCTACGCCTTGAATAAGTTTTCAGAGGCTTGAGAGGCTCAGTGGCTGCCTGGGGTCACACAGCTTATAAGGGGTGGAGTCACGACTTGACTCCAAAGCCTGCTGGTTCCCACTGGTTCCCACCACCCCAGCACCAGTCCCTAATAGCAACTCCCCCACTCCAGCACATTTGGGGTCTCCCTTCCCAAGTGAAAATCAATGCCGTGGTGTCTGTTTAATAGAGATGAGGATTTACGTTCACCTGACCCTTTTCTTTCCTCGTAAGTCCAGAATTCAGATGGCAAAAGAGAGGCCCTGCTTGGTGTGTTTTAAGTGTGTGCGTTGTTCTAGCTGCTTGGGCACTGCTGTGGCATTGCTGGTGGCTGAGTGCACACCCTCAACAGCAGAGGTGGGCCGACGCGGAGAGGCGTTCTCTTGGTCGTGGAGGCAAAGGTGACTCAGCCCAGCGGGAAGACAATTCATCCAACCCAGGCCGCCGGCAGGCAGGATGGATATACCAACTTGAGAGCTTCGGATAGCTTTGTGGTCTTTCCAGGGGTTGACTGAGGCTGTTCAGTTGCCTCGACCACGGCGGGAGAAAGCCCAGTGGACCAAGTCTCGGGCTTGTGCTGTCACTTTAAGGAACCGCTCTCCCGTGGCCAGCTCATACCTGCTCCTCAGCCTGCACCGGGGGACACAACCAGCAGGAGAGGGGCCT